AGATGCATCGTGTGGCTTAGCCCCAGTGTATATCGTTCGCCCCGCCCGCAGGCAGTCAGGGCATTTCTAGTTGGTTGACTTGACACAACGAGAACTGCTACGTTTGATCGATTTAGGCGTGGTGCGAGTGCCGCGCGCGTGACATCACGTGCTATGCCTCGTTGGCCGCTCTAGTCACTGCTTGGAGCTTACGGTGTACCTACTCCCTATGGAGAGAAGAGACTATTGTCTCAGTGAGAGGGCAAAGACAGGCAGATTCAGATGCGCCGGCAGGTCCTCCCACAACTATCTAGGCCCCAGTTTACAATCGTTGGGCAAATGTACCTCTGTATTTCTCTATCGAGGTAATCTCAGGAACTCAAACAGTAGGGGAATAAGTGGGTTGTCTTTGGAGCAATCAGAACCCTATCGGCTAATGAAGTTTGGACTTCGGCACCGAGCTCATTTTTAAATTACCTAACTTACCAAATCCGCTAAAAACTTATATGTAGGGGTAGTTTAACATCCTGATTACGAATATGACATTCACTGTTGCCGCTGGCGCTAATGGATGACACTACGATTACCTGCGCTCCGCTAAGGCTGAGCCCAAGAGGTAATCGTAGTGTCATCCCTTGGCGCCAGCGCCAAGAATGAGTGTCATAATTGTAATCATTATGGTAAATAACCCTTGTGTACATATTTTCAGCGGGTTTGGTGACTTAGGTAATTTAAAAATGAGCTCGGTGCCGAAGTTGCTGGCGTCCAAACGGCATTAGCCAACCCTATCTTACATCTAACTCTACGAAATGATGCACCACAGCTGGGAAACGCTGGCTTCCTGCCAATTTTTTGATGGGTTTTTTCTTCTACAGTCCTTCCCTTGCTTACCCTTCATTTTTGTACTTTCTTTAGGAGAACTTGTAAACAAAGCCTCGGTATTGGTTTCTGACCAATAATGTTGGTATTTTAGTTTTCTACTAATTGTGTTGGTAGAGAATGCATTCCTTCGTGCCCGTTCTTCTTCTCTTTTTCATTGCTAACTCAACTTACGCCTTGAATATCTTAGGTGAGTGAGGGATTTCTTCCAGAACTGAGGTCGCCTCCCAGGAAATTCTTTGCTGTTTTCAGTGTGGACAAGCACAATTGGTCTAAGTCATACTAACTTTGTCGGAAGCATTGCTGATACTTTGAAAAAAGATGGCCACAACGTTGTGAGTTGTAGCTCCGCACCTGCTTTTGTATCCCTTAGTCAACCATTCTTTTTTGTTTAAAATTTTTACGGTGGATACTGAGTTCTTCGACAGTACATTTTGTCCATTTTTGGCCTGGACAGGTGCCAGTCTTTACCTTCCGCCTTTTTACATTTTTGTGTAAGGAAATTTCGTTCGATTTCCAAAGTTGACGAATATTCAGACGTTGCTGCTGGTTGAGTTCGATCCGGACTTCACAAGCGAAACTGGCACAAAACATGTTGAGCACGTAATAAGGTAGTTTCAGCTTCACAATTTATTTATTAATCTTGCCTGCCAGGGGTGCCACGCTCCACCAGCGGGTCTACGAACATTTAAGCTTGATTCCTCTGATCACCATTAGTGGACGTTTTTCTTCATCCAAATTAGTGGTAGTCTCGCGGACTCAGGGACTGTCCCGCTTTCACTACTCCTTAATGAGCGACAAGGATGCTGCTGGCCATTGCTAGTCCAATGCACGCCACAGGCTAGTTGGAGCCTCCTTAACTACAAATTTTCCCTTAGGTTAACGCACTTGTTGTTTGGCGGAGCGCGCAACCAAAATCCGAATTTGGCGCACTCGTTTTTGCTTGACCCGCTGCTCTTAGCTCAAATAGTCATTCTGCTCTCTCTTTATTCATTTTTTTTTTTTTCAATAGAGTACGAAGCAGTGCCATTTTCGCCAAAACTAATAGGGAGCACGTCACATTCACCAATGTTTAATTGCACTAGTGCAATTAGTGTCCGCAATAGTTCCGGATAGCGTGTTTATCACATCCAGTTTTGCACAATACGTACTCCAGAGCTATTTTCTATTCGTCTAAGTTTTGTTTTTACTACCGTCGTTTTTCTTTTTTTTATTTAATTTTGTAGAATGGTATTCAGCACGGTATGACGTGAAAAAATTGCCGCTGAGCTAGAGGCAGCAGCATTTCACTTCTCCTAATAAAAATGTCCATCCCCTGGCTCGCCACATGCCTTTTTCAGCTTACGATACATTGGCGGAAGATGTCTGTCCTCTATCTGTCACATAACAATATTCCGCGGTCCACCTAAGCGCTGGCTCAGGGACGGCGATGGCCCAGAAGTGCTGTAGGATGTCCTCCACTTTCTCCTCCAAATACGCTCAGCGCATATTTCGAAAGCCTGATGTCACGGGCGACGGTAAACGACAAAATCGCACTTCAGCATCCTGCTTTGTGAGCGGCAGTCGCTTCGCGGTTTCGGCACTGGAGCATCGTAGTCAACAGTCATCACCACCGAGTAGCATTGTTGCCTACTATGAACTCAACATGAGAATGTCACCACACTATACAAAAGCACCGAATCTTGCATAATAACGTTGATGACGTGGCATTTCAAACTTAATTTACGTTGCACTATAGGAAAAGTCCCTTAAGGAGGAACAAACGCCGTCTCATCATGTTTAGGCATCTCGTCCATCAACGTGGGGGCATTTCTCTCTACCTGCTTCCTTAACTTAAAGCATTCTGCGTTCAAAAAATGCCTCTTCAAGATCTGCAGGGAGCAGTTGGAGACTGCATACTTCATCAGTGTATAGCAATTCAAGCAATTGGGCATATTCATTTTACGGGTCCTGCGGGCATTTCGCGAAAGATATATACTGTGCGCCTCTAGCAATGCGAGGCATAGGGCACCTTTATAACCAGAACCAGAACCATTCTGACAAAGTACCCTATCTGGGAAGCGGTAGCAAGAGGTGTACGCACTGATTTACGCCTTGAACTTTCAGTGGGTTGGTTCAGATAATTTCCGGTTGACTCAGTAGAGCCGTTCTGGTGAAGGGTTTTGGCCAGCTTTCGGATTTGACCACATAAAGTTGGTTGATTATGGTGAGACTTTCCACATTCCCTACAGTGATTGACATTTGAATAGGCATTTCGAATTGAAACATTTAATTCTCTAAAATTCGTCACACGCGTTTCCTCTTCAGGGTAATCGGGCCGGGACGGCGGGCCGGATGCTCAAGTGCGATTGTGCCGTTTACCTTACGTCCTGATGTGGGCTACTGCATTGAGAAGCTTCCACCCGGGCGGCACAAGCTGTGGACACTGCGTCTTCGCTGCTCAATCGCAGAAGAGCGATTTCCTTTCATCATTCAGGGTTTCTACGGAATCTGATTTTCACGTCTTGGACCATTACAGTTGAGACCACCTCTGCCATTCATGTAAACAATGTCACGATGCTTCTCGTGACATCTCGTAAGCTTGTCTTTCATCGATCATGCAGCTTTTTCAAAGAGGAGTCGTATATCGGTGTGTGAACTAAATTAAGAAGATCGTAGGGTGGGGCTATGCACGCATAACATGCGGACATGATTCTTCATTCCTTTTCAGGTACAGTTCACCTTATCACGACCCAAAGGATTGGCTCACACTAACATTCAAGAGGGAACAAGTTTTCAATGTGGTACTCGGGCTCAGCGTGATGGACTTTGCTAAAATGCAGCTTTTTGCTTACAACGTCTGCAGAGGGAAGTGTTGTCTTGCCGAATTTCCCAGTAGTAATTTTCATACATGTATGTTTCGATATTTCACAAGCTCTTGAACCCTTTGCGGTTCGCCGTGTTGCGTATTACCGGGAACACATGAATGGATCAAACCCGAAATGACATTATCAATATAAGGGGGGGGGGGGAAGAGGCGTGCGCTATGCGCTGTAATACTGGGAAATGTCATTGCCAATGAAACTGCCCAAGTTGAAATTGGTGCACCTTCCATGGAGCTTTCTCACTTTCAAGGCTTCACATTTATCGCCCCAGCAAAACTCTCATCTTCACGAATACAGTTCCATGTTTGCACAGTATTTAAGGTACCTCATCCCGAATATTATTAGCACTTTCGCCATAGTCGACCTTTTTGAATTGGGGATGCCCTTCCCAATTCGTGCTCCACATCGGAGCCCCCTTTTCACTTGACGTTCTTTGAGTCTCCCTCCAATTACAAACCACAGATGAAAAGGACCGTAGCGAAAGTAAAATATTCCGGAAAATAAGGACGCTAATCGTCGTTCAGGTATTCTCGAAGATTCTTCCCTGAATTCGACAGCCCGATTTGATCTTGGTATTTTTGAGATGATGCATAGCTGTCCTGCTGGTGTCATGGAATTGGCTGGTAATTAGGCATTTTCCGTCCCTTTCAATTCCCACAAAAACTGATGCTGCGTTCAGGCATCCCGAAACAATGCTTGTCTCAGCTATCGGCATGGGATACCATCACTACCGTCTACTTGGAATGGAGAAACGATCCCAGTTTCGTACCTGGTATACACTTTTGTTCGCTTCGTTCACATTTCACTAAGGGTGGATCGTTGTTCTGCGAAACAACGTGAGGTGCAGAGAAGTGGCAAGAACTCTTGTGTCAATGTGCCTAATGTGTGTGTGTCAATAATTATTGTTCTTGGCAGCCACCTTTACGTTGTACGGAAGTCGCATGACGTTCATTGGCCGGTTGTACAAGCGCGCCTTCAATGCTCTCGGTTAGTTTTCTGATGAGGTGCATACGTACGATCTTTCAGTATTGGTGTTTGAGGCAATGCACTGTTTTTGTCAACTTTGTCGGAAAAATAAAAGTCGGAGGGAAATGGTTTCTAGACAGCCTTGTTGCATGGCACCCATGGTTGGAAATCGTCTCTATATAGGGCACTATGTGCATAACCCTTTTTGGCATGCATATCGATAGAAGTGCTTAAGTTTACACCTTGCAGGCTGGATGTTTGCCAATATTTGTGAATACTCTGAACAGAGCTTGTTCAATGGCATATTTCCAGATTTCCTCGTCTGCACAATCTGATCCAGGTATTTTTTGGCATTGGTTGTCGCATTTCAGTGGGTTCTGCTTGCAATCTTACCTCAATGGTTAGCAGAGGGAAGAAGAACGCGTTATAAGGCGTTCATTTTTTACGGCAACGTTTCGAGCTCAATGGAAAAGTTTCGATCTAACTCAAAACGCTAACCGTACGGTGCTAACGCTAAATCGCTACCTATTTCTTTCCTAGTCGCTCAAAGCGGTGCCGCAGAGCCGAATGCAGTCTACTTCCCTCTCTATGCTTCCACTTGACAGACGACCAGATGACAAGGGCTGAATATTCGCACAAAACTGATATCATTTCGATTGAAAAAAATGCTATGTGAATCACTAACATCTAACATTTATTATCGACTACTAAAGAAAAACATCATGAGAGAAAAATGCCAACAATTGCAAAGATACTATATGCGATAAAGTGAGAAGAAAATTTTTTTAATTACAAAACACTTTAGAGGAAAAAGTGACATCTTCAAAATGGTGGCTGACATTATGAAGTAAAAGAGGAGCAAAAGGGCTCATGATATGGAGTGGGGAGCTGGGTGGTGAAGAGCAGTGGCCCGCCAAACTGCATAGTGCATCAGGCGGTCAAGCTCTGGATACCAACTTAGTAGGTCCGCCAACCCCACCAAGACCCACGTATCGACATGGATGAGAAAGATAAAATTCAAAGAATACAGCATACCAGAACGTAATAATGCCTGAGTATCTCAATATTGATCCTGTCAGATTCGAAAATGTCGCTTGCCTGTTTATGATTTTTTGCTTTTCAAGGATAAGACTGACTACTTCCTAATGAATTGCAATGAATTCACGGAGTCGACACGGCCCACACTGCTTTCCATACATCATGTTGGAGGATCCGCCATCTCGACTCCACGTCCGCTTAGCAATGTAACTTTGGCCAACCAACTGGTGTGCTCTTCATTTAGCAGCTTTTTAACGACAGACTCATTCAGGAATTCGAACATGTAGTTTCCAAAGGTGCCAAGGGAGTGATTCTTTTCTCTCTCGGCTCGTTGGTGAAGTCGAGCGATATGCCCGTGGCTGTTCGTAGAGGTATCTGTGGTTTTTCTGAGGACTCTGCTTCTAGTAATTACTGATTTCTCTATGTGTACTATATCCTTCTACTTCTTTTATGTTTCAAGCTTTTACTGAAGCTTTCCAATCATTCCCGGAATACGTTATCATTTGGAAAGTTGACAGAGTGTCAAACGTCACTTACTCAAATATCGTCTACTACGATTGGGTTCCACAAGTGGATCTTTTAGGTGAATAGCAGTTACTTCTGACTTCGAATTTTCACTCTCATGGCTTCTACTTAATTGTTCTATGTGCGAATCAACGCTGTTTATGATATAAAGTCTAGCTGACGGACGAGTGAAGCTGCTCATAACTCATGCTGGTATGAATTCCATCCAAGAAGCGGTTCTGTTCGGTGTTCCAATGGTGACTGTTCCTCTCTTCGCTGACCAGGTGAGAAAATATCTGAGTCTTCCACTACTGCCCAATTTTTTTCGTCTGGTCACTTTGAGAATTACCAAAAATCCGACTCCCTATGCACAGCATTAGCTTATTTCTGAAAGGGATTGCTTCTGAGTTGCCAACAGTCATGAGCGTACGTTCATACTCTTTTTCGTGCGGTAGCGTTTTGAGCGTTAAGAATGGTTGTTGTAGAGGGAATGGAGTACGCTCGAGACGCCAACGCGAAGTATTAGAAAAACTGAAGAGGGTGTGATTCTATTGGTGTTTCAGTACACAAATGCAGCAGTGGCAAACGAACGTGGCTTTTCGGTCACTTTGGATAAACTATTCCTCTCAAAAGAAGTTATCGTGGAAGCCATCAGCACCGTACTTGGAAGTAACGGGGAAAGGTTTGTAGCTGGAAACATTTTCATCTGCTGTTTCCCCACCATCCAAGTTTTGGGAAGATGATGGTGCACTCGATCTCTTGTCCAGTTTGTTTGAATACATATGAATCCTAGACATTATTGCCTTTTCCCCAATGTTTATTCTGTGCTTTCTCACACCATCTGTTTGACGTATTCAGCAGTTATACGAAGCGAGTACGGCAAGCAGCGCGACTTCTGAGAGGAAGTCCCGAAGAGATGCGGAGAAAAATCAAGCGCTTGGCACGAGTGTCCGGTTCGGAACCTCCACTCAACCATTTGAAGCTCGACATAGGTCATCTTAACAATTTCCAATACTATAACATTGACGTATACCTTTTCTTATGTCTAACGTTTTCTTTTTCCATAATAATGTTTTATTACTTCACTGCATGGGTTGTTCATTCCATTTTGTGTTCGAGAAAAGAGAAATTTGAGTAGTCTCATAAGATTGCAGATTGCAGATATTTCTGTGATTGAGTGTAGTTCCAACAGGATGTGAATGTCTACCATATTTTTCGAAACAAAGAACTTTCGAATAAAATCACACACTTTTCAAATGAAATTGGACGCGCGCTAGGCACGCTAGATCGCAATAGGACTGCTGGCTCCGCCCAACTCACAGAAGCTCCGCCAACCCATAGAAATTCAGTTCACCAGGCTAGAGTCCCTACTGGCAAGTTTTGGTGCCGCTTGTCGCCTCAAAAAAAACAAACTTTGCTTCGAGGACGGGATAGACCATGACCTGCCTGTCCGAACTCTATCTTTGATTTGATCATTTCTTGAAGTGAATAGAGTTTTGTAGAGTTCGAAGCTCCTCACGGTGGGTGGGCAACCTGTTGGGGGCGATAAAGGTGAAAAATCTCGCAAAAATACGCTGAATGAAGCGTGGGCAAAAGGGAGAGACAGTTTGCAAGTGCAGATACATCAGATGTCATGTGAATATCAGTGTCTGTTTTGGTTTGTAAAGTGTAATTGGTTAATGTCGATTTCAAATGAAAATGGTATATAATAAGCGAAGAGTGAATACCACGCGATTTCAAAATGTTTCATCGGGTGCAAGTTTTTCAGCTTTTTTTTTAGTGTCTCCGTTCTGTGTATGTTTTCTGTACAGCAAATAAAGTTATGGCAAACGCAAGTGCATGTGTGCTACTGGGTGACATAGTCTTCTATACTGCACAAGGCAGACGTTTGTTCTGTCGTTTGTTCTCTTTCTGTAAGATTATGGAAATAGGATTAGACTAGCAGCAGTGGAAGTGTAACATGACCTTGTTGGATTTCTTCTGGAAATCCATCGTTTTGGGCACTGACATCGCTACGTGAGTAATTTTACATTCTCTTATCAATTTTCTGTGTTACTTGAAGGGAAAAGGCTCTCTGAAATGTGAATTCAAAATCCTCGAAACTTCACGACTGCTCTTCATTATACTTTTCCTAGTCCATTTTTCACCGCTGAACAGATACTAGTAAAGGGTACTGTACCGAAGTAGTTTATAGTAGGCCTTTATTAGATAGCCGCCTGTTATCATTCTTTACTGTGCTAATTTCTGTGTGGTTTGCGGTTATGCGGGCTAATTTCCAGGGCTAAGATCTCTTTAGTGAGAGTCCTCGGGTATCATGCATATCATGCTCACAATCTCCGCCCAAACAGTTGCCTTCCGACGTTGTTAGAAAGCTGATGACTGCTGGTAACCCCATTATTCTCTTTAGACCTTGTATGATACCCCATAGAGGTGGTGCTCTGGAAAACTTCTCAGAATCTTCCAATGGACTGCGCTTAAATCCAGTGATTTTTCTCCTGTCATAGACATTATCAGATTTTTCATATTTTACACCATTATTGGACAGCCTTGTTGTATACCGCCGTTGAATGCTGAATGTTTTATGAATTATTGAGCTAGCTAGCGCCCTGAGTGCGAGCTCACCTCGTTAATTCACGATGCCACGTTTGATAGCGCTCTAAGCAGCACTTTACATCTTAATGTTTGTCCTGATGGTGCAACAATTGACCCCAAATATCCGTGCAAATGCTGAGCCTGGGCAACAATGCCTGTGAACAGCATGATATTACTGAAGAAATATGTCTTTATATTTCTCTTGTTTGGGGAACTGACAAAGAGATGCCATTGGGATGCCATTCTTATGGATATTATCTGTTTAGTGCTATGTGCGTAGCGCCAGTGTCAATTCTTTTCCTGGACCACCCTGTCGCTGTGCGCTCTTTCGTGCACAGAAGTTCATTCGCTAACTCTTCTCGGAAAAATAATGCAAGGAAATGAATTAATTTCCCGCGTGATCTGAACTCGCATCTATTTGATTTCCTTCATTATTTTTTTATGAAAGCGCTACAAAATCTCATGGACTGCTGGTTGACCCCCTTTATTCTCTTTTAAAGAATGCTTTTTACTGCAGTCTTCACTAGGCGTGCCATCAAAGTTACGAAGGCTACGGCTCCTGATAAGGTCCACTCCTAGACCGATCTGTCAAAAACTGTTAGATTCAGTCTTCAATCTGAGGTAAATAGGAGCTATCTTAATTATCTAACCAGATACTGTGTATTTACCGTTCTTGAACAGTTTTATCTACACTTAAGTTTTGACATTGAACTGATTCAGCAAAAAGTCCAGAAGGGATGTGCCACACATCGCCCTTTGAATGTTTCCTGGATAATCATCCCTTAATGTCCCAGGACATCCATTAAAGGCAGTTGCACGATGGTTTCCTACTCGGCCTAAAACGCTAGTAAGGCGCCAGTGGGGAAATGGCGAAAGAACGGAGTGAAACAGTCAAAATCCTGCGAAGAGAAAGCCTCTGTTCTCAGTGACCTGAAAATCGAGGACGAGTTTCCCGTAGGCATCTTGCCAATAACCGCTACCAAAGATACGGCTGCATATATGCATGCAGCATCACGACCGCTTCATACCAATTCCTTCGCTTGATGCTACAAGAAGCTAACTTCAGTATTACCGCCACGGTACCGTAACCTAAGACAGCGCCCTTTGAATTGTTCGTCTGTCGTAAGTGCATTGAAAACATCACCACGGGAATTGAAGCTATAATTTCCTTTGTAAGGTTGTTAAAAACTGGTGTGTTTCGGATGTCGCTGTGAGGACTTCGATGTAAGGATAGGCCTGATCTGTCTTTCTGTTACTGTTTTTTTTGTGTGCTCTTGCTCAAAGCACTTTGGTGCTGCACGCTTGGTCCTAATCAGTGTGGGATAGAGACGACTTTCAAAGCTCGCTAAAGTAAACATTGAACTGAGGTGCTACTTTCGAATTATTAGTCATCGCCTCGAAAGGTGGAATAGGTGGTATGTAGGTGGTCACGATCAACTACGATTTTTCGAGCTGGGAAAAATTTTCTTCACAAAACCTAGCTACATTAGTGAAATCATCCACTGAAGTAGTACATTCACCGTGGAAACTAGAGAGCCAAAGTTGAGACGGGCACTGCTTGAGCACAGTTTCTCCAAGATATGAGGAAATTCTGTTGAAAACTTGCCACCAAAACGTTATCTACAAGAATGGATAACTGGAGGTTGGAGGTTATCTACAGAGTATTCGGTACTGCCAGTTACGATCCTGACCGTGAAATTCTTACGTATAGTTGATAGGCGTTTTGTTTGCTTTCTCAGTCACTAGGCGTGCAGAGAAATTTCATGTAATAGGTTGAGGAAAGCCTTTCCAAAAGAATTTCCATCTGGAGGAAGGTAAAAACAATTCGGCTCTTTATTCATGTATTATATTCTCCAGTCAAATGCTAGGAAGAAACTGTAACCGTAGTATGATAAACGAGACAATACGTCTCGACATAGCGGTTCTATATGTTTGGCATACGCTGCGCATATGCATAATTTTGCACAATTCTTGCAGTGGTACTACCGTGAAGTTCGGTGTTATACGCACGTCCACTGCGGAATTACACTTAACTGAGCGCCGCTTTGGCTTACGGTATCGTGGCGGTAATATCTTGTTAATTTGCTTAGCAAATGAATGAATACGAGCGTCAGGAACGGTCGTCCATTTGTGGGCGGGCGGGCGTGGCGGCCGTTATGTTGTGGCTTGACAGGTCCCTTACAAGGGCACCTTTCTTAGAAAAGCCGCTATGCAGCGCCTGCTCAGGGTCGCGGAATTCGTCCTGACGGCCTATTGATCCTAGTCGTCTTGGGGGTTTTATCGTGCCAACTGCCTTTAATCGAGGAGCCTTCCTTCTCTGCCTTCTTCTTTTCTTCCTTTGTCTTTTCTCCTTCCTTGAAAGATTCCGTCGAACAACTGTTCCTGCCACTCATTCCATGGTAAGGAAATTCCTCTTATGGAAATCCTCTTCAAAGACTTCCCGTTGGTGTCACATTGGGTTACTCTGTTCATTTTTCATGTCGTATCGAAACAAATAAGATCTATTCGGTGTTCTGACAGGAAACGTCCAGCCGTTGGGGAGAATTTTTGCAAAATACAACCCCTTCCCTAGTCATTTCCTCTCCTGTATAATACAACCCTCCCCTTTCTTCCCCAGACCAAATTTCTACCAGTATTTTTCATGAAAACTGCCATTGAGCGCGGTATAGCGATTTTAAAACAGGAAAAACCTTGAAGAGTCGATAACCGGAAATATTTTAGGGCAACGATCCCCCTCACCCTAGCGGCCACGTGCGACCTCCTTCGCTGGGACAGAGTACGTGCGACCTCCTTCGCTGGGACAGAGTACAGCATCATGATGTGTGAAATGGTGGCGTCAGTACGACCTCCCCCTTCCCCAACACCTACTGATCCTTTTTTCCTACAAGTTCCCAGCCTCCTACCACTTTCTCCAAAATTTCCAAAATTTTCTAGTTTTTCACCCAACAAATTCCGTTGAGCGGGCGGGGGGGGAGGGTATGTAACCAATGTGAAACGGGAGAGATCGCGAAAACTTTACAACCGGGAAGAATTTTTCCGAACACGGCTAAGTTCTCTTAAAGCCACATACGACCCCTCCCCCATCTCCCACCAACGACCAAGTGCGACCCCCTCCCCAAGGGCCAGTGCGACCCCCCCATGTGTTACAGCAACAATGGTGTACCCTGGCTGGCGGTCCCCAGCGTAAGACGGGCTTTATTTCTGGAGTCCTATAGGGCCTCTACTCGTTATTTACACAGTATTCCTATGAAGCGAAATCGTAAGAGTACGATCTGTTTGTCTCCTACTCTTAACATACTGTATGCCCACGGGTGAGAAGTGCACAGATGGCACAACTGCTCTTTGGAAACCTGTAGATGAGGCTACACAGCTGGCGCTTGGGTTACCCGAAACAGCCCTGGGTCACTTTTCACTTTAGTGAAAGCAAAAAGATTGATAGGAATAAAACAGAACTGGCATCCATGCAGTTTGATGGAAAGCGCTTCAATGATTGGTGCATACACCCACTGAAGCTGCCTAGAGTATTGACTAGAAGGGTTCAGAAAT